ACCTGGTACCGATTCCCAAACAGATTTGCGCCATTCGGATTATTACCCTTATTATCTAAATGCCTATTATATTAAAAATTAAATACCACTTATTCCCTGTCTTTTTTTTTTATGTAGTTAATGCGCCGGGTTGGCAAAAACAACGCCCGCTACTAATTCGTACTTTTTAGTGCGCGTCATAATGCTTTTTAACACAGAAAAACGGGAGTTAAAAACTAAAATACAGTAGATTCGTTCGACGATTTTATCCTTTAGTAATTGCATTTCTTTTTAATTGAAAATCTTAATGTTCTCTTTGGGATTACCAGAGCTTAAACTGTATAATAAAGCCATTTAAAACGAAAGGAAGCTTTCTGCAATTGTCTTTGATTTAGGAAATTTAGCATTTTAATCATGTTAAAAGGCCGGAAAGACAAAATTCCTGCCACTTTACTGAATAAATAGAAATGTATGATACAGATTACTTACGCATCTATTTATTTTTTCTTCGATTTAAAGTTATTTTTCGCTTCTCTTCGCGAAAACAAAAAATGGCATTGAAATTTATAAGTTCCGTCATCTGGTAGAATTGTAAATTAAAATTGAATTATCGTTTCCTTTTTTTAAAGTGTAATTTTAAAGATTCTCAAATATTTTGTGCATATCTTATAGTATTCACTTTTATATATAATTTAATTCCTTTTGTGCTTAGTAGTTTTAGTTTACAAACTTAGAATACGTTTAATTTAATTGTTTTTTAGCACTACGGAATTGCTAATTCGATAAATACGCTTAGATTTCAGCTTAAATCTAATTAAAGTCGACCATTCGATATAGTGTAACTAATACGGTCGAGGTTGAGAGGCGCGCGTAAAATTCGCCGACAATATCGCAAATTACTGACAAAACAACTCAGAATTAATCATTCCCCGTAAATTACGCCGTTCATAAATTATTTTCGCTTCTCCTCCATCGAAAAATTTCCCTAAATTCGGACGCAATTCGTTCGAAATTCCCTAAACCCGTCTCTGCTGGCATTCGTTTCGGAAAGGTCACACTCGCAAAGGTCACACGAGAGAATTGTTTTCGATTTTAATTCCTACCCGATCGAATCAATATAAACCGAAATTAATGCCGTTCGATCAGACAAACGGACAGCCTTGACGAAGTTTTGCTGGAAATTAATTATAATTTTTGTCTTTTGAAGTATCGAGTCGATAGCGAAAGGTTCGTAACTTTAAGAAAAAGGGAAATATGAATGAGGTTAAGTGTTACTTTATAACGAAGAAAAAAATATTCCGTTCGAACGAATTTTCTACGCCGTCACGGCCAAGGATACGAGCGTACGCAATGAATTATTTGCTAGAGAATTGTCGAGAAAAATGTTCAGACCGCAAAGAATAACGAAGCTCAGCAGGTGTTACAAGGTGACATTCAGAAAAGCTGTGATATAAATTACCTCGGAAATAGCCGATGTGTGTGATGAGATGGTACGAGATAAAGTAATTACCTAGAGGACGATTAAAAAAAAAAAATACACAATTCGAGTAATTAAGTGAAGAATTTTATACTATAAGTAGACGTTTTTAACCGTTTGTTCGCGAGTAATTCACGAACGGAGAAGAGGGAGGGGGGAAAACATGTAAAGTTTCGTTGAGGTCATTCGTACGATATGCAAATTTCCGAAGAAGTTGCGCAAGAGGAAATTCCAAGGGTTTACGAACAATTTGAAGTACAGTACGTGTTGGCATTATAAGCACTGTAGTGTTGACGAGATCGTCCCGCCATCTGGCGAGTGAATTGGATACCAAGCAGGAGCGGTTGTTCTTGCGCAAGTCCACACCTCGTCTCCCATTAAGATGATTTGTTCTTAATGCTACTTAGTAAAATTATTTGATTGTTCGTGTTTTAATTCTTAACCTTCCAAGCAGTTAGTCAATTCCGTTTATCGAGAAGGAAGTTAATAATTTGAATCATTACGTTCGGTTTTTCTCTTGGATTCTGGAATTTGCTTTTTTAGGGGTTTTTTTCCTTTATATATAAATATTTAAACTAATCTAATTCTGTGCGTACGTATATAAATAAGGAGCTAAAACACCTGTGTGTTTTCTAATGACGGTGGAAACTTGTGGGAAATACAGGTGTATCTACTATTTAATTATTTAGTCAGTTAAATGAGTGAAAGAGGTGTAACGCACTCCGCAGTTTTCTTACTCGAGTAATTCTCGAATCTCTTTTATAAGTCTAATTTTATTTAACTCGAAACACTGTCTACAGTTTCTTTTAAATCCCTTCGAGGGAATTAAGTTTAGAATTTCAAATCGCTCGAAAGGAGGATGTTTGCGTAATGTTTCGAACATCGTACAGATTTTTATCATTATCATTCGCTACTACCATAAATTTTTTTCTTTTAATTTTATAAGTTTTCTGTCCTCCGAACCAGATTTTACGTCCTTTTGTGGGTCAGTGGTTTCGATAACGAATCGAAAATAGAAAAATATATAGCCTAGAGGTTTTTGGGGGTAGGTAATTACGCGTAGTAGAAGAATGACGCGTGGAACCTCCCTCCCCTCCAACGGGGTGACGTCGGTTTTTTTCTTTTTTTTTTCCTTTTCTAATTCATTTTTCCGCTCCCGTCTCCTCAAGGTTACGCATTCTCCAGCTGTGTAATTAAAGATCCTGTTGTCAACTTGTAACGTTTCTTCGGTAGTTTCTTCGAATCGGCGAAGGCCGCGTAGTCAGCGTTGCGTGCAATTTTGCCACGTAAAACGGCGTGTCGTATTATTACCCTCACCACCAAAGGAATTAACAGTTCGTAAGATGGTTCTTCCAAGACTCGCTTTTTCGGCCAGGTTATCGTCCATACGAAAAAAGGCTCGTAAACTGCGCCGTAACGCGTAGAAGTGACACGAGAATCGAATAAATAGTTGTAGAAACTCGTTTCTTTTATTGCTCGACACCTTCTGGTAGAGTTTAAAAGCACGAGGATTTATTAACGCCTAATTTTTCCCCCCTTCGAACTTTTTCGTCGTACTAATAATGCTCTTTAATTTATGCATCGTTCCAGTATATTACACATCGTGTGTTTTGTAAGGTGTGATAATTGAACAGTTCATTATCAAAGTATACAGTTTTAAATGAGCATATACTCCAGGAAAATTGTGTAATTGATTGATAATGTAATTTATAGAGGGCGATATATATATATATATATATATGTGTGTGTGTGTTTCCTGTTCGTAAATAGCAACGTATGTGCATAATGTAAATTCTAATAGGATTCAATTCTGTCGAAACAATTAAGTCGGATAGCAATCGAGAAGTTTGATTCTGGCTCAACAGTTGGGCCGTATAAAAGTAGAACATAGTTATAACGAGAAGTTTGTTCTAAATAAGGTTAGATAAGTTATCTGTGTTTCCTACAAATAATTTTTCTCTTCGCGTACGTTGTCTTGTTTTGCCTCTAGTGCATGTTTAATGATACGAATTATTTTTCTGCGTAGTTTTTCTCGCCTTGTTTTTTTTTCGAAGGGGACATATATGTAGTGAAGTGTGTCAACCGTCACCTATCGTTTACCTCTTTTTTTTCCTGTGTCCAAACGGGCAATTAAAACTTAGCGCGGGTCGTTAGTGCTTGTTTCCGGATACGGGACCCGTTTAAAAATAATTACCGCGATCCAAAATTAAACGCCATCGAGGCAAAATATGTTTTTCTCGTGTTAGTTACACGTACTTCGGAAACGGATTACGGAGAGCGGAAATGATTTATTCCCTATATAGTATCGGCGAGTGAAAAGAAGGGTCTAGGGTGATAGTTAAGTTTTCGATAACAGCCGGTTGTCAAAATAAACAACCTCACCCTTTCCTGTGTCGAACATCCGGTCGGAATGCGCGGTATAAAAATGCCGAGGGGTTCGTCTGTCGTTTGTACTAGAAAAGATGTCCACTTCTCATCGTCGGTATTTGGCTTGGCTGCATTGCAGCTGTGTAGAGTCGTGCTGCGGCAGTTGTGACCTTTACTCGGTGAGTGAGATTTCTTTCCTGCGTATCCTGGCAGTACACAAACTGCCGATCGACCGGCTACGGCGGATGCACGTGGGACGAGAAAGGCTCATATATATAAATATATATGTTTTTTTTTCTTTACGACTTCCCAGAAAAAATTCCTTCCTTACCCGTCCGACATAGAAAAAAATTTCCGCTCATCCTACCACCTCTCTCCGAGCCGAAACGTAGTTGGCAGTCGAGTTTTGTAGTTGGGAAACGTATCCTCAGGATCCGCAACAGAACGGGGGACGTTTCTTGTGCTCTGTCTCGCATCTATTGAGTTTGCGCGGTCGCAATTTTCCCCGACTGCTTCGTAAGTATGATAATAAAGTAGTGCGATGTTCTTTTCGCGGCTACGTTGGCGGTGGCGATGATGTTATTTGTTTAAAAATTCGGAAACATTCCCCAGTCGAATTGTCACGTTCCGGACTTCGTCCCTATGCGAAAACACACCTACAAAAAAAAATTTTTTTCCCCTATATATCTCTTCCCCCCTTCGAGAAGCGCAGTCTGCTCGATCCTGTATTAGAATCGAATGTGCGCCGGTAATTTATGACCTTTGAAAATAATTATCATGAGCTAGGCTAAAATATGATAAACGGAATCGTTAATTTGTATTTTGTATTCGTTCACCTTCCCAAAGGATTATTGTATCAAAAGGCGGACTTAGCATTTTTCCTTTGTTCTCTCCTCTCTGTCAGTATTTTTTTTTTTTTTTTTACCTGTTATGCGAGAGACCAATCACAAAAATCTATCCGAAAACATGAATATTTAATGCAGGGATGTATTTAGCTTATAATATGTTGATAAAGGAGAAACTGTAATAAATTTATATACAATTATACTTATATATAACTTACATACTGCGGATATCGGGTCGCGAAGTCTTTAATTATATTTTAAACTGTTAAAATAAAACTTATTTTTATATAAGTGAATACTAATTTTTATTTTTTCCCCTTTTTTCCCTCTAGTGAGTCGTCTACAATGCGAAAGCGAATCGTTCAAAATGGATTTAATTCTGGATATTAATATCCAGCTTTATCCCATGGATCTCGGTAAGTGAGAATTTTATTTATTTATTGATAAATAAAAGTTTAACTCGGAATTAACTGTGGTTACCGGCCGAAGTGACAGACGTTGGCAATTTCTTTAGAACGGACGAGCGACACGAAAAGTATAATAGTAATTATAAAAGAATAATGCAACTCTGTCGGAACGGAATAAAAAGAGAATTGTTTTCTTTTCTTTTAGGCGAATGAAAATAAATTAAAATTTACTTTAAATTAATTACTGTCGTAGTTGATAACGCGATTAAGTTCGTAATGATACTTTAAATCTGAGTTAATTGGAAAGATAAAAGTGATGCGAATTCTATACGACCGTTAAGTAATCTCACAAATAATGATAAATGATACACGTGATGGAGCTTTAAACAGCTGAGGGCATAAATTTCGCGTGGTTCTTCGAAAATATTGGGGAAGAACGACGAAACCGGACGTATATTTCTTTCGGTTTTTTTTTTTTTTTTTAATTTCGTGCTACGGAGAAACGGGGTATCTGATTTAATTTCAGTGTTCGTATCTTAAAAGTTCAGTACATCAAGACCAAGGCTCGGAAAAATAGTTTAAAATAATTTAATGCTGTAAATATAGAAACAGGATGTCTTTACAATGAATAGCCATAGATATAAATTTCTTATCCTTCGAACGAGTGAAATTGATACGAATTATGAATAGATAGGAGGGCATAAATTTATTTCTTAGGAAATTTCTAAGTAAGGGATTAATTAGATAGAGAAATAGATAAAGTATCAATATCGTTTGTTCCTTATTTTTTTTTTATTTTTTATTTTTTGTTTTTGGAAACGTTAAAGAAAAGGGTATTATATAGAAGGGCGTAAATATTTATTTCTAGGTAGCCTAACAAATAAGTATATGAGTTAAATGCCGCTGCTATAAATAATGACGGATGGTGAAAGGTAAACAAAATATTGACGATATAGGCCTATACGTAGGTTGCTATTGATGTTAATGATTAGAGAACTTTTCGATAAAAATAGGAGGAAAATTTTAAAATTGGCATATTATTTATTGATTTTTAATGCTGTTATAGAAATTCAGATTGAAATTTTTCGGAGATTAAATATATATGTATATATATATTTCGTTTTATTTTATTTTTTTTTTAAATATTCGAGAAGAGAAGATTTAATCGCATTTCGTGTAATTCGATTCCCCTTTTGTATTTTACACGATTCGGTTGGTAAGTTGACCTGAATTCTCATGTTTTGTTACTCAATAGGAAAATTTCCCGTCTTTCGTTTCGCCGCTTTTTTCTCTCGAATTCTCTCGAGATTCGAGAGGGGGGAGAGAAATTCGGGGAGTTGCTAGGGGGGACGAAAGTTAATTTTTCGCGTTTAATGATGTGTATTTTGTTTTAACAATGCTTATTTAAAATAACGATCGTGTGTCCCTCCCCCTTTCTGTTTTTTAACAAAATCGGGCGAAGAAAGTCGACTTACTCGAAAATTTATCTCCCGGGATGCTGGCATATTCCTCTAAACGTGCCGATCGATAATAATTTGCTGATTTGTATTCCGTAATAGGAATATCCCATCTGTTTCTACGCCGGGAGAAATTTCGATTGCGTCATTGGGTGGGGTTCGAATACTGTCCCCGTCTTGTATGTGCGGCCGAGGCGTCAAAATAGCTCGATAGAATTTTTAGAATGGCGATTAACAGGGAACGTCCCGGTCGGCGTATCGAAAATTAAAACATCTAACACCGTGACGACGGGGGAAATTCCCCCTTTCCGTGTGGGGAAACCACGTGATGTCCTGGCGTATCTTTTTTTTTTTTTTAAATCTAGTCTAGAAGTCCTTGATCGGCTACCTTTTTAAATTAAATATAGAAATTGTAGAAAAATTCGATGATTCACTGTTTGCGATTTGGGTGCTGATTACCGGGAATTCCCGATGATCAAACATCCGTTAGCTGGAGGAAAATTCCCTTTCGCGTTGCTCTTTTCTTCTTCTGACATTCCGCAGATAGGATTGTTTATTTTATTTTTTGTTCTCACGTGTTCCGGTGCGCCTCGATACCCCTCGATCGTCTTCCTTTCCGTAAGTAACACGCATTTGATACTTTATTATTTAATGGCACGTTATCGCGTTAAGCATTTTGCTCGTTCGAAATATGCGGAAGTGAACGTTCGGGTGCTAATTTTATTTATTTATTTTTTTTTTCTTAATTACTACAAGATGGTGGGCTGGCGGGGGTAATAACAATTAAGGAATTTAATCTTTCGAAAGTGAAACCATTTTTTTTTTTTTTAATTTTAATTTCGATAGTTAAACGCTTTTATCTGAGTTTATCGCTTTTATTCCCTAATTCGATGCTTATCGGCCGTGAGTTATGTAAGCTCGATAAGATAAGCAGTGGGAGGATAAATTAGGAAAAATCTTACGTAATTGCAGAAACATCCCGAAATTGCGAGTCAGCCGGGAGCTGGGATAGACGTAATCATTTTGGTTGATCCTAAACTGTCAGGGAAGATGACGATCCGTGATAATTCGAATTTTATGTTTCAATTTGCCTTTCGCTAATGCCATTTATAATTACTTGTTTATAAACACTTTATTGGAATTTCTCGTCGTGACCATTAATGGAAAAATTCTGTCCCGTTATTAATAAATCAGAGGCCAGAATTCTTGTTAGGATTTATGCTTGTTCTTGTTAGAATATATGCTTTTTTTTCCGTAAAAATTAGGCACTTTTATGCTTATCTTACCGGCAATTGGTACGTATACCCCTTGGAAATCTGTCCTTTCTCCTACATTCTTGTTTACATTCGAACTGACGCTTTCTTCTTCTTTACATATTCCTAATATAAAGTAAAATTAATGATTATAAACTTTAATCTCTCCATTACAATAGAATTTTATTAGCAGAAGTATTATGATATCGTCTTGTGGGGAGGGGAGAAAATGGAGAAGAACAGGCAGTTAGTATGTAAGTACAGTATTAGAAGAAAGATTGACATTTAGAATTGGATGACCTTGATATTTCATAAATCTCTACTTCTGTATCGAAAGTAGAATACAACAATAACGAATTAACTTATATAACTGTGCACGAAGTTTAATTACGAAATTCAAACGTAATGAATTTTAAATTTAATACCTCGGAGAAAGCTCAAGAAAGACAATTAATTTGACTCTTCCGTAAAAGATTACCAGGTATTAAGTTTGCTGCGGGTTTTCTTTATATATATATAGGCTATATAATTAGACTTTGACTCGATTCTCATATAATTGTTTTTTCCTTCTAATTATTAAGTCGTTAAAGAGCAAATTCGTTTTGTAAGAAATCGCGCTCTAATCTAATTACTTACCAGTTTCGTGCTGTATTTATCCGAATTTCGTTAATTGTTACAAACCAGGAAAAAAAAAGAGTTGGTTGATGAAAAATTTCTTTTTGGGTAAAAATACCCACGCAGTTATTTACGTTCCCCGTGTTGACAACCGTTAAAAAGTCCCGAAAGTTAACCTTGGTATGTACGAATTATGGATGGAAATGTGTTCTTATTGTGGAAAAATTCCGCGTAATTCGATCCATTTATAAAAAAAAAAAANATATAAATGATTTGTTTATATAATATGTATGTGTTTGTGTAAAGTTTATATTAATTAAAGAACATTTTTTGCTATTAATATGCAGCGTGATCGTGACGTACACGTTGGCAAAAATAATTTTTTTTACATAAAAGTGAATGGTGGTGGCAGTGTGGTTAGCTGGTTGTGAATGATGACGACAACCACTAGTCGTACTGCCGCCTTCCTTCGCTCTCTCATCATCCACCGTCTCTTATCGTCATATTTAAAAATAATAATAAATTTTTTTTAAACAAATGTAATGATATGAATCAAATATATTCATTTTTAAAGTATTTCCCGAATTAATTTACCCTCCTCTTTTCTCTTTAGTGCCGCTTACGTATCGTTCGGAGTATGTACGAATTATGGATGGAAATGTGTTCTTATTGTGGAAAAATTCCGCGTAATTCGATCCATTTATAAAAAAAAAAAAAGGAAATTCTAGATGTTGTTCTTGCGCAAGTCCACACCTCGTCTCCCATTAAGATGATTTGTTCTTAATGCTACTTAGTAAAATTATTTGATTGTTCGTGTTTTAATTCTAAAAAAAAAAAAGGAAATTCTAGATATGTATATTTGCATATGGGTTTTAAAAGGAAGGGAGTTCTTCCCCGGTTTCTTGGAAAGGGGGAAAAACGGGGGATGCAAAGAAAATTTGTGATGAACGAGCCTACCCTACGTTTGTTTACCCACTTTTTAAGAACTCTATCGCAATTTCCGGGAGAGGAATGCGCGATGCGCCAAGGTAAAAATAGGTCCCGTATTAGAAAACGTAAAGGGCAGATGCGTAATTCGCACCGGACAAAAGAGAAGATCCGCGGACGGATGGAAATATCTTGGTTTTTCCAATTGGTCGGGAGCCGCGTGGTCCTCTACTGCAATGACGACCTTCCGGCCTTGAGCATCCCATTCCGCAGGAACGACGTCAGCTCGGCCGATCGATTCCTTGCAGAAACTGGAACAGGTAACTGCGAGGTAAATGGAATCGTCCTTGGAAAATTAGCCCTGACCTTCTGCGTTGCTTCTCTCCCGATCTCTCGGGTTCCTCCTTTTTTTTTTTTTCGACGTTTCTGGGTAATAAAAAAAATGGCCGCCGTGTGACGTCTTTATCGTTTCCTGCCCTACTTTCGATCATTCGATTCCGGCACGCGCTGTCGGAACGTGCCCAATCTTTTTTTTTTTTAATTGCTCGAATCTCTGATTTTGTATAATCTTACCCGTAAAAGGAACCGGAAAAGTTTATTTACCGAAGGAACGAGCCGAATTTTATTCTGCGCGATATTAATTACGTAGATTAATAGACTCACGTGCTGGGAAGATATCCCGCGATCGATGATACAATCCGTGATTTTTCCCGGTTTTTTCATTATTCGACGCATCGGAAAAGAATAAAATCGCAAATGATATTAACAAAATTAATTTCCTTGCGAAGAAGATGTAAAAAAGAAAGGCCGAAGAAACGAATAAACTTATTTTTTATACGTAACGTAATTAAATTCCGCTGGGTTCGAGTGCGTAGAAACTTGCGTAAATTGTAATTATTTTTGCGTTTTTTTTATTCGCACTTCTTTTCGAATATTTATTATTATTAATTCGGTTGATATTTAAGGAATTTATCAAACGATTCGAATGTTTTATCGCCAACGCTATCTCCAGTGTGTTAAATATGCTCTGACGTTACGATTATCGGACCCGATAAAAAGTGATTTTCTGTCCGACTTTCCAGCATTATTTTCGGGTTTCTTCGGCCATCCGGAAGTTGCAACGACGTGTTTAAGGTCCGGACAGTGTTAGGGAGTCGGTCTTTTCGGTTGTTCCGTCGCCGTTTCGACCTCTTACATCACAATCTCGGGAGCCGTTCGTTAAAAATTGATTAGTCTGGTATTAGAAATGATAGGAAAAGTAGCGTGTGGGTCACGAGACGGAGATTATCGCCGGCGATAAAAGTTATCCGATGACCTAGCTGATAGAAAAGTACTAATTTGGAGATGACGCTGCTTCGGCCAAATCGCCGTCACGATAAGCTGAAATTTCTCGTTGTATCTAACCGCAAACCTAAACATAGAACTTCGCTATTTTGAAATTACTTCGCGCCACTGAAGTTTGTTTTTCTCTCCTCTCTCTCTCTCTCTCTCTCTCTCCGCTTTCGGATTATATTACGTAATAAAATAAAATTAAAATAAATAAATAGAAGAGATATTAGCAAACGTCGACTCTCGTATTATCGATTTTGTCACGTAAAATTTGTTTACTCGCCGCCTTGGATCGCTGGCAAAATTTGGAAATAATCGTGACGTTACGTTCGTTTTAAAGTTGAGTAAGTTGGATCCGGGAAGAGTTTTTTTAGAAAAGTTTGTGGCTCCTCGAATATTTTAGGAATCGAGTTTGCTTCTTTCGTATAAAGTCCTTCCAGTGTAAGAGACCTGTAATATCCTAAAAGCTATTGAAGTTTATATATATATATAGTCCCGCGTATACTTGTTAAAAAAAAATAAATACATTAGCTTAAATTTTGAATAGAGACTCGTGTAAACCCGTTATTGTAAAACGGTTAGAAGTAGGTTTATCGCTTCCTGTCTGTAATTAATTCAACGAAAATAAGAATGGAGTTGAGAGATGAAAAATGCTTTTGTCGTTCTCCAGACATTCTCGGCACGATTTTTCATTCTTTTATTCGAAAATTTCACTTCTAAGCGGAACGAATTCTTTTCTCTCTCTCTCTCTCTCTCTCGCTTCCGGTTGTGGAAATCGGAAAATGAAAATTGGATGTAATTGCGGAAAATCGCTTTTATTGTTTACATAAACATAAATTTAGCCGCATTTATAATTATTATTGGAAGAAAAATCGTTAATTTCAATGTTCTCTGGCGCCATAATATCTAAAAAAAAATACAAAATTTCCCCTCGCGGAAATTTTACATTTCTCGAAATAATATCCCGAGTTGTCGGATATTTAAAAGTGTTCCATCGCCAATAGTTAGTAATTAGATCGATCGATGCGATTTATGGGAGATTTAATGGTTTGCCGAACGATCAAAGTGTGAATTTCCTCCATCTCCAACCGATCGGAACAGGAAAGTTGGAGTCGGATTCTGGAAAACCCGCGAAAAATTCTCTTAGGGAAATTACGTTAACACCTAGGGAAAGCGTTTGGATTTCTGCGAAAGGTGTAAACGCGATCGAAGGCGTTTCTGTCGGAGATAAAAGAATGACGCGGAGAGCGGATAGAACGGCTTAGATGGATGTGGGTAGACTCGACCTTTTCAAATTTTAACATCGATTGCGGCGGATGACGAAACAGCTTTCGTTGTCAGATAAGATTCTTTTATAAAACACACATTTATAAAATAACAAGTTAAAAAAAGATAAATCATTATCTCGCACGTAATAACGTTGTGCCGTTCGTGCTCTTCTCGAGCGCTAAATATAGTCGACGGGTGGAAGATTAATCGAGTCGATCTTCCGGGTGACGTTGAGACGATCGGAGGCGGTGGAAGATCGTTCGGGGGGCGAAGAATCGAGTAATTTCTTTCTCCCGTCCGTCACATCCGTGGAAGAGCTGTTACCGCCCCCTTCCTTCCGCGGCTACTGATAATTGTTCGTTGTATTGTTTCGCCATTATCAGTTGTCACTTTGACCCACTCCCGATATATATATCCAGCCATTAAGGCGATGTTGGACACTTTACGGAACGTCGGCCCGGACGGATTAACCACTCGTTGGATTTGTGTGGAGGGGAGGTGTATTTGCGGTGTTTACCGACGGAAGGAGTTGGTTTCGATCGAGTTTTGCAAGTTGTTTGTCGTCCGTCGTGCCGTGTTTACGCCGACGATCGGTATTTACGGGGTGTTGCGAAACGGAAACACCCCGTCGACACGTTGGGTCTTTACGGAAAGCTAAGGCAACGTCGGCTCCGAAAATAGTCATAGACGAATTAAATTTAAAAACTGTTGACAGGTACGACAATGGACGTCTCGTGACACTCAGACCTTGGAACGGGATAATCGTTGACCCCACTTCTGAGTGAATACCTATTATCTCCGCTGACAATAGCTTGTGATATAGGCGACCTCTGTACGGTTTTGTCGGAATGGCCCAATTTTTGTTAAGTGGTTGTGGGTGCGTAGTCGACCACGAAGAGTAAACTTCGGAAAGGTTAAAATAACGTCGTTAAGGAAATTTCCCTCTCGTGGATCGGGTCGGAGGATATCGGCAGGTAAAATGCTGACCTTTACTTTTTACAGGTGACAAATTTCGTTTGGTGATCGCGTCCACCCTACGCGAGGACGGATATCCGGACGACGGGGAGTGGAATCCTGTGGAGACGGGAGCATCCAGGGCAGACAGTTTCGAGTACGTTATGTACGGCAAGATTTATCGCATCGAAGGCGACGACGGAGCCGGAGAGACTACCCGACTGTGAGTATAATTTTGCTGCTGGTTCAGTTTTGCCCTTTTTTTTTTTTCTTTCTCTCTCTCTCTCCAGGGTCGACTAAGCGAGAGATGCGACTGTGCCTGGGTTTAACTGAGTACCACTCTGAGTTCACATCGGTAGTGTTAAAGAAACGAGTGTGAACACAGCTGGTGGTATCTCAGTTGGATCGCGGGTGAAATCGGCAACTCGTCCTCGGTCCGTTAGGAAACGGAAGGCTCCGGATCGTAATCTCGTTACTTATGCGACTTCAGTTACCTCGTTTCCTATTAAGAAGACTGGAGAGGTTCGCTTTGACGGGCGATTCCGGTCGACGTCATCGAACAAAGTAGAGCTGCCGAGCTATTTTAGGAGCAGAAAGGATTCTGTCAGCGATCCAATTGTGTCGTTCGCCAATACAGTATGTGTGTCTGCACAAAAGGAAAGACTGGAAGTGCGATAGGGACGGGCGCTGGTATTTTTGTCCCTTTCTTCTATCCCACACGTGTTTACCTAGTATTTCTGTTACCGCACAGCCCCGGCCATCACTTTTTTCTCCATTCTCCCCCGTTGAAATTTTAGAAAAATCGGTGAAAGTTAATTTCCCCTTTTTCCTGTCCACTTTCGATCTGTCTGGCAATAGAAAAATGTGCGCGGGCTCGAAACTATCCCCTGTATTCGTTGTCAAAACAAATCGAACTGTTTTTCATATCGATGTCTGGTTTCAAAGACGACGTAGCTACGTCGTCTTTCCGACGTCGGTCTAGCGGGGTGTGACATGGGTTTGTTGCAGCGTTACCATTGCGTCCTCGTGTATTTTCGGACCGCCTTCCGTGGCCCGGCCGTCGTGTGCTATTCTTGTTATCCGATGTAGCTGAAAACCACTCTCGAAGCATTGTACGTTTTCGGAAGAGAGACTAGTGATGTGTGCGTAGGGGTGAGTACGTGTGTTTGTGTATGTGTGATTTGATGGACGGTGTGACCACGAGTTTTGTGACATCGCTACCTACTCCTACTTATTACCTTCTTGCATTAAAAAAAGAATTATATTTACGTAACTTAACAGTTCGGTTCTATGTATTTGCCTGCTAACCTGCCCGAACTGCGCATTATTAACTTTCTGTGTTAGAATTCCCTCTTCGTGTTAACATTTTACCCCGCATTTTGCGACCCGTTTGTACGTGTCTGTTTTGATAGTTAGGAAACTGTATTGAAGGATCTGTTACGCTGGTATGTGGAGTGAAAATAATCCGCAACTCGGTTACGTCACGTGATTGCGCCGAATGTCCTGTAGTTGTTTTCTTAATATCAGCATGCCATTTTTTTAAATTAGAAATCTAACGATTCCCCTGCCTGCTTCTCGATGGATATACTATATTCTGCATCTTCGGTGTATACCATTTTACTAGATAGTATGACTTTTAACGAACTGTTTGCATGAGAATCTTTCTGGTTATGTGCATGGATTATTGAGGAATGCAATTACTAGTGGAAAAGCATGTACTGGTGGTGCTATTATTTCTTCCTATTTTTTATAGGTTTACCTCTGTGCACCACCGGATTTCCAATGGATATATATGTGTATAGACATATGTAAACCTTTTCTGGCTTGTTGCTCTATCCTGCACTGTTGTCCACTCCTGGTCGCTGGTACTTTCGTTCCAGAGATGCGTTTACAAGAGTTCTTGTAATATCTGTAAATGCATTTTCTGGAATGAAAACTACCCACGACACATCTTCGACACCTCTCTCCGAGCTGAGATTCTTCAGTGGTGATAGTTAACGCTTTTTTTTTTATTATAATTATTATTATTTTTTTTTTAATGTAGATCATCGACAAATTGGCTTCGGTAGTTATTGTACGTTGTAACAAATTCTGTTTCTGTGTAGCTTTTGGTGGGGGTCTTCCTATTCTGCGCCAACTCTATCAAAAACAAAATAAAAGTTGTAGCACTTTAAAAAAAGAAAAACAAACTGTGAACGAACTCTTTCTATGTATTGCCCAACTGCCAATTTTTCTCTAAATAAATAAAACTCCTTAATACTTATCAATTTAAGCTGTGTTAATTTTTATACATAAACCCACGAATATTTAAAGCACGCAAACAATGTTTATAGAGTCACATCGAAATCCACAACAATCGTTTATGTACTGTACATTAAAAAGACGCAAGTCACACGTCGAAATCCGTTCCGAATCTTGCGGTCTTTGACAAAATTCATCTCAAACGATGGCAGGTTTTTGGTGAAGGATCTTAAACGATTCAGCAGAGACGAAGCGAAGGAAAACGTCGTCGGGACCAAAAGAGTAGCTAATGTTATGCGCCCTTCTACATCAACCTTCAAGGTCGCCGTACTTGGATTATTTTAAATAGAAGTTTGCAAATCAGCCTGTATTCGACCCGAAATGTGTAAAACGATATCGTCTGCATTGCGGCTATTTGCCCCCTTATCTTGATATATATTTATATATATATTGTATTAATAGATAAAATAAATATAAATGTTTTTCATGTCATTCTTTGTTTTTATTATTATTATTTTTTTTTTTCCTAACTTTCCGATCGAACATAATACTATAATCGTTATCTCTCGATGCAACTCCCACTTCTAACTTATAGTTTTTAAACTATAAATAAATACCCGGAATAAAAAATAAATAAATAAGAAATAAAACTTTAAATTCTAATTACGCGAGTTTAACGAAGAAATTTCGAAAATTATAAATTTATATTTTAAAACAAATTTTTAAAAATATATATAATTTAACGAACACCTCAAGCGTATCGTCGGCGAATTGTTATTAAAGCACTGGATGAATAGCGCCTTTTGTATGATTAAGTGCGCTCTTTCCCGTGACTATAAAATGCATTCTTCTTGGTAACATCGGATTTTTCTCCGAACGACCTTCGTTCTCCTTCCCAATCGGTTGGCATAGTAACGGATATCGATGCGGCAGCACCCCCTCAATACGGATCAAACCGCAATTCTATTTACAATTTTTTAACGCGAATTTAACGCATAAAATAATTTCTTATAAAGATTGATTTATATATTTCATTACTTATTTTTTTTATATTAATATTTTATTATATATAAATGATTTGTTTATATAATATGTATGTGTTTGTGTAAAGTTTATATTAATTAAAGAACATTTTTTGCTATTAATATGCAGCGTGATCGTGACGTACACGTTGGCAAAAATAATTTTTTTTACATAAAAGTGAATGGTGGTGGCAGTGTGGTTAGCTGGTTGTGAATGATGACGACAACCACTAGTCGTACTGCCGCCTTCCTTCGCTCTCTCATCATCCACCGTCTCTTATCGTCATATTTAAAAATAATAATAAATTTTTTTTAAACAAATGTAATGATATGAATCAAATATATTCATTTTTAAAGTATTTCCCGAATTAATTTACCCTCCTCTTTTCTCTTTAGTGCCGCTTACGTATCGTTCGGAGGACTTTTGATGAGGTTGCAAGGAGATCCGAACAATCTTCATGGATTCGAGGTGGATAATCACGTGTATCTGCTGATGAAGAAGTTGGCATTTTGAGTCTGTATTAGAATTATTTCTCTCCTTACTCATTACCGGTATTTGTGAATGTCTATGTCATTTTTATAATGGAAATTGTAATGAATTTGTATACGTAAAAAATAAAAGTGATGTGAAGAAGTTTGGGCTAACGTTATTTTAATTGTTAATTATCGGCTACGATTGATAAGAATTATTATTATTATATTCTTTTTCAAGTTTCTATTAAAATCCGAAAGAATCTGCGAGGAGGATATCGACTTATCAAGAGATTTAAGCGGGATATTTCTTGTTATAAAGAAACAGATACATTAAAGCGCTTTTCTGTCCATCGGGAATTGTCTTCTTACCTCGTAGCTTTCATTTGTACGGAATTTTATAGGACAACTGTAGATTTGAGCGAACCTTTGCGTTCAAAATGTCAAATATTTTGAGCAGTTTCCATTAGAAAAATTGCTCCACTTCAAAAAACAATCGGTATTTCTCTTTCGGTAATTTGGCCCTTCTTAAAGAATTAATAAGAAACCGAATCAAAAATTCGATAAAATATATTATTTACTACGAAACTGCCGAACCGATGTTTAAATTCTTTGTTCATAAAATATTAATAAGTATAGGATTCAGTCCATATGCGTATTTTGCCCTAAATTCAATCAAGCGAGTTCATTAAAGATAAAGTTTTCCTCTCTGTGTGGTAAAACTGCATTAGAGACCGATCTGAAACAAAACGGAGACAATAACTTGTTTTTTCTATTAAATTTAGCTGGTAATTTTAAGAATTTTTTTATAGTCTTAAGGGTGTTGTTGATGCTTGAAGATCAGTCAACTGATGATTAACTCTTTGGCATTGAATAAATTCTGAAACAGAGGTGAGTAATCCTCCTCTGTTTTCTGCATTTATTAATAGTAATAAAGGTGAGGAAATATTAGAAAGTGATTTTTATAGTTTCACCATAGGAAAGAACGTAAATTGTATTTTAAATCTTGTTCAAAAATATTTAAGTCCTCCAAATTTTTTTTCTTTAATATTATTACTTAAAATATTAATGTTAATGATGTTTGATAATTACTTGTTTCTCTGTTTTTTCAAGTTATGAATCTCATTAAGATTATTTTGGAATTACACAGTAGTAATAACAAGATTTGATAAAGGTTTTATAGTGGAAATATTTTAAGAAACGAAACAGTAGGATGTAACTAAGTCTTATTTTAATAAAAAAAAAATTTAAATTTTTATCTTAAAGGTAAATTCTTCATTTCCTCGAGCGTTTCTTCTCAAATAACTCAGATTTGCGAGTAGTTCTATATACTATTTTCGATTATTTAGATGGAAATCCAAATTACATCTTAAAATATTAATGGATCTTTGAATCAAATCTTCACAAAATCTTTTACTGTACTCAAATTTTAAACTGTAAAAATTGGTATTCCACTTAACGACTAGGATAGAAAAACTTGTTTTTTAAGCAATTTTTAATAAATCAGTTGTAGAAGTAAACAAGTAATGTAATTTCTAAAGAATTTTTAATGCTGTCAGATACGGTAATACGAAATGGCATACAAAATCAGTTAACAGTTGAAAAGGATATTGTTATTCTTGTCACAATTAGTTAAGCCAATCATTAAACAGTGCCAACTTTTTTTTTCCAATGTTTTTCCACCTCTTTTAAAACTCAAATTCTTGTAAATGCTCAGATTCTTTTTCTTACCGTAAAGTTTTCCATTAAAATTTTTACTTCTTAGACATGTTACTTTGATTCGCCGACTTCAAATTTTAAAATAACTGCTATTATATATACAGAAAATAGCTGCGAAAATTATACGTGGCTTTTTTTAAAAAAAGTTGAAAGATTATTTTAATAACAGACATCGAATTTGGCTCTTATTTTTGTGGACAAATTTACGAAAATCTTCAATGGCATGCTTAAAGAAGTTGCGTGAAACTTGATTCAAAGATATCTTTCGTCCTATTTTTAAGTTGCAACGAAGAAATGTTTAATAATTATTATTATTTGAGCATTATTCTGTATAAACTATCATCAGAAAAGCATCAAGAAAATAAAATTTAACGAGTAGAAGAATTGTATAACACATAAATGATAAATTTTTTCATAAAAATATGCGCTTTATTTTAATTTGATTTCATCGAAATCTTTAAGAATTAGTTAATTCAAATATTCATAATGTGATTCAATTACAGAAGAAAAAATACGCTGCGTGAATCTTTTATTTTCGTCTCCATTTTGTTCGAAAATGGCCACCGTTTGAATTCTAGATATACTAGAGTGAATCAATTTCGAATCCCTTAAAATTATAAATTATATATACTAAATGATTTCGTGAAATTTTTAAATGGTAGTATTTAAATTTATATATAAGAAAACAATTCCCGGCATTTTGAACAAAGCTAATTTCTTGCTCTGTATCAAACTTAGCGTTTCGTAACAGCCAAGCAAAACTGCAATTAACCATCCTTTAAATATTTTTTAGAACTTTATTCATTTTTAATTGCTTAATGATATAGCATAGAATTTATACATTTTAAGTACTTTTGTAGCCAATATTTAAATAAAAATCCACAGAAAAATGATAATTTCGAAGCGCTCTTTTTAGCTTAAATTCTTACGCCAACATGTTTAACAGATAAAAATTTTATTTAGAAATTAAACTTTTTACGTTTCTAAATATTTATTTTCAAAATTTATTAACTTTTTCTCCCTTCTATATATTAATTAACATTGAGTAATGAGCAACGAGCGAGATTATTATTATTTTTTCATTATTATAAGTGAAAAAAAGATGGCGCTGATGTTGTGGGAGAAGAATGTCGGATGAGGATTCGTACAAGGTGAACTTTTACACGTGGAAAAAGATTTCATTACCATTGTATCGGCTTATCGCGTGTTAATTTGAATAAATTAAAAAGTCTTAAAGAAGTTTGAAAATGCAATAAACTTAAGGTAAGAATCATTCTTTCTATTGCGGTCTTAATTGCTAAGCTACTAAAATACCATCTTTGAATATTAATGCCATAAATAACTCGAAAAAACATACTTTAAATGAAGAAACACTCAAACCTGCAGCTGCCACTCAAGACACTTTAACGACCTGTTAACGCTATTTAAGAAACTACAAAACATCTGTATTGAGTTAAATAACCAGTCACCGGCTACGTGAATTAAAAATAGCTTTAACTAATATAATTTGTTACTATTATTGATGGTTATTTTTAACAGAATAATAATTTAGCAACGAATAAAAAAAAAAAAAAACGATTACAATCTCTACATAAATTATTTCGGATGTTAAGAGCACGATCTTTTAATTGTCGCGTGTGACGTCACAAACTTAAAATATTCTTATCGTATCAACGCCATCTGTTGTAATTTATTATGATAATTTATTGTTTCCAAAAAAAAAATATATATATATATATATATATTCACTGAGAGTTTATTGAATTGAAATCACGGAAGATTGTTTTAAGCCTGGTTTTCGAGGCGGTCGCGTTATATCGGATCTTACATCCAACCCATCATCCATTGAATTCTATAATTTGTCCCGAATGGAGCAATGTTCATTAGTCGACATACGCGAAGAAAATAGTTCCTTATTCATTACGAAGTAGAATATAAAAGTTTTCTTAAATTCGTCATTACTTCACCTCTTTTCAAAATTTTGTTATCAAGCTGAGCAAATGACGTCATCATCTTAACCGTATCGATAAGATGGTCCGTGTAATGATTGATAGTGTGACGTATTAAGGAGGAAAATGGGGAAAACAAATGCGGCGTCTGTGACAAACGCTCGTGTACTTATTCATAGTTTATTTGAATTAAATAACGGCATTAAAACAACGAAAGAACTCGAAAATAGTAATTTTATAGTAACATTTCTTCTCACGATTGTTATTCTCTTGGGCGAATTATTATTTTTTAATTTGAAGACATTAGGTTCGTGTAGGCCGCCATTTTATATGATGAAATGAGGAAAGCGCGTTTCTAAACTACGGCGTGGATGACGTCACATACGATCCACCAAGCTCGCTAATTGGTGAGATTAGGAAAACTTTTAATATACTTTTATAAATTTTATTGTATATTGTGACAAATTATAATTTATAACTTGTTTAAACAATTTGAATTGTTCGATACTTTGCAGAAAATTTGAGATTATTTTTAAAAAATGAAGTACACAACGACGTGGTGTTTGAATTTTGAAGTTTCCTGTTCTGTTTTATTCAATTTCATACATAGCTTTGTAGATTAGCTACGGCGGCGGAGTGATACATTCAAAATACAGCACATTGGTTCCATTTTTAAGCGGCGTTTACACTTATGAGTGTAAACGCCGCTTCGTGTGTAACTGGTATAATGTAATCGTCACACAAGATTTCTCATACGAGTAGAGCGTTCTTATACCATTTACTCGTAAATATAAACACCGCTTTACTTTGGTAAAACATAAATGCCTAAATTGTGCTATGGGATTTCCAGTATCAGGACTTTTTCCATACTGCAGATTATAATTTGATTTCAATTGTGTACATTTCTATGGTTCGTTGACGAAGTATTTAAATAATTTTCAAAGTTATAAACGCAAATACGAATTTAAAGCATTGCATTGTTACAATCAGTGCTTTGTTTGGGGGGAAAAAAAGGTGGTGGAATGCTCATCTCATTACTAAAAATATGTTACAAATATATTACATTACTTTTATTCAGTGCTTTTTTTTGGTTAAAAAAAAAGGTATTGGAATGCCGTTCCATTGCATTCTATGACAAAAAAAGCACTGGTTACAATACAGTATATTCAATACATTTTGTCAAATCCTAATACTATGATGCATTTCCGAGACATATAAGTATTTTCAATATTGTATTTATTGACTTTTCAGTATATTAATAAAATATTTCCTTGGTTTAGTGGATCTCTGACGTAATGGATTAACCTTTCTGAATTGGATCTTTTTGAATATTTCAAATAAAAATTTGATAGAATTTCAAGATTTCGATTAATGATTCATTATTGGTAAAAAATGTAAACTTTTCTTTTTGTCTAAATAAAAATTTTAACAGAAATTTCTAAATGAAAGAATTCCAAAAGATATATTGATAATATACATGAAACATTGTATGTAT